AGGAACAAAATAATGTCTTGCATCCAGTCTTCTAAATGTGATCCTGAAGGGAGTTTTCTCTTTTTGTTATTGCTTGGAGGGGAAGGGAAGTAGTCTATTTGACAAATTTACAAGTCCCAGATTCTGGAGTTAAATTAAGGAATTTTTCTCCTGGGCACAGGAGCTCAGCTGTGTAATATTTCCAATGTGCTATATAATACTGTCCTAGTCTTTTTTAAAATGACCATAATGATGATTTGAACTAATTGAGAATTGTGAACTTTAACTTTGGATATCATGCCGTTATACTGAATTAAGTCTATGACTAGGAGTGAGCAGTCCTTACATTTATTTGTTATCTGTGCCAGGCGGACTTTCTCTGAAGAGAAGGATTCATCCAGGTCAAACAGGTCTAAGGAGGGTGGAGGTAACTCCCTGAAAGCTGGTGGGAATACCTGCAAGATACAGGTTCAGTTGAGTGTTTTTTAGAAAAGATTTTTCAGCAAAATGCCTCAATGGGATATGCAGCATGTTATACTGGACAGCAATTACTGGGCAAAAAATAGAAAAAAATGTCTGAATCAAAATAGCTTTTTAATTGGGTATATTTCACTTGAGGACAAAGGTTTTGGAGAATGGCTTCAAAGAATTTTTTGTTAGATGACAAAAATTAAATACAAATGAAAGTAAAAAGGGTAAAACTAGGGTGTGAGAGAGAAAATTTGAAATACGTAAACTGTGAAACTAATCTTAGCCATTAAGTACACACGTACTCTAGAGTAAAGATATACATGTAAGCAGGGACAACACTATGCAAAACGACAATTTTCATTAAAACATCACCAACATGCAAGATTAAGGATGGGTATTACTCACGGCTGGTTGAAGTGATGGCAGTGGTGTCTCAAACTGAGGCTGAATGAGGGAAAGCTGTTCATGTTTCACTCCTAGTAACTCATATGACCTGGATGAAAAGGAATAAACACCGAATTCAATGGTCAAAGGTACAAAACATCACTGTCACTATGCAAGGCAAAAACATCGTTCTTGATGGGGCTAGACAATTTCCCCTTCACAAAGTGTACTGGTATTAGGAAATCAACTTTTCTCTGGAACTGACATCATAGAAAAAGACCGGGGGCATCAAGTCAAAGACCGGGGGCATCAAGGCAAAGACCGGGGGCATCAAGACAAAGACCGGGGGCATCAAGGCAAAGACCGGGGGCATCAAGGCAAAGACCGGGGGCTGCTCTGCATATGGGACACTTACTTGGAATACAATGACTGATAACAGGGCATGCCAACCAATGAAGTAGCAGCTCTAATATAATAATGACGAGTTAATGACGAGTTTGGAAATCCTAAATATATGAAGGTTTGAGAACTGGCCTTATGTCCAGCCTAAATCAACTGAGTGCATCCATGAGTAACACATGTCTATGGTAAACATCAGCAGCCATAGCCAATGGCTTCCACAGACATGCGTTAGTTCAAGCCACTGCCATGGCTTTTAGATGTGACCAGATAATCCTTTGGCAGACATCCACCCTACCTGATAACTTTGGGTACTGTAGTGGTATCTAGCGTGTACAGTTTGCTACGGAACAGTGAGTTGATGTCTTTGGGTGTATCGTCGTGTTCTTGAAGGCAGCATCTCAGATTTTCCGCTAGCTTGGCTGTGTCTGGCAGCATGTTGTAGTCAGAAACCTGTCCGAAAAAAAGGAAAAATTTCACAAAGTTGAACATCTTATCTCAGGATATAATGCAATGGCAAAGCTCCATTTGAACTGCAGGCATTCCAAATGATCAGAGAGATCAGAATGGAAAACAGCATTTTCTTGAATAATCTTTATATTCATCAGGATGTCAAGCTCTGAGGCAAACGAAATGAGGAGCTACGTATGCCCTCTCTAATACATATAAACCAGCAAAATGAAAAAAAAAAGTCTAAAGAAACAACTGTCAAAGACAAAATTAAAGGATCAAAATTTCAGACATCTGTGAAATGATTACCTTATGCGCTGGACTTTTGTCATGACAAAATGAAACATCGTCCAGCTCAGCTACTAAATCTGGTAACACAACTTGCATTTATTACAGAAATCATCCTGATGAATATTCATGTACAATGAATATTGATAACACTTACCTCAGGATCTTCAGCATCTATAGCATTCAGTGTCACAGTGTCTGTTGTCAACCACTGGAAGATGACATCCATAATCTTCGAGTTCTCCTCCTTATCAAGGTACTGATCACTGAACATGTGCACTGATCCAAGGACTGCCAGCTTACCCTTAGAGTACTGCGGATGAAAATAGGAAACTAAAGGTGAAGTCTGTTCCTACAGAATGCCGATTCTATCGAGTTTTGTAAGGATCACTCCGAATTCTGCCAAGACCCGCCCACCAAGGTGCAGGAAACTGGTATCAAGATTTTGTATCCTTTATGGTGCACCTTGCCTCATAGCAGTGGCAAGGCTCAACCTTCCTCATTCCAGTTGAATCCTTTTGGTACCTCCAGGTAGAGTTTGAAACATCTGGAAGAGCTGGGTCTAGCACTCGCCTTGACTAATAGAGTACCAATGATGTTATTTGAACAAGAGAATGTAGTGAAAACGAACAGAGTATGCACATGTTGGTTCATGCGCTGGTTCTCGCGCTACTGCCTGTTACGCATGTAATTGTATGCATGATGTATTCACCTCTGTACAGTCCGATGAAAAGTTTACTCCTTGAAATAATATGAATAAAAAATTATCTTAGAGTCTAATTCAGAAACTGGAATCTAATTAAGAGGTTGGAGTAGAGAAAAAGTCTGAATTTAAATAAGGACCTTAACCAGACCTTAACCAAAAGTGGAACTTCAATTGAGAACTCTAACCCTCTTCATACTACCTACCTTTGATGAATGCAGAGCACATATCGGTCTGTTGAGAGGAAAAGCTACGGTTCCGGTTGATAGGATTGCTGTGGCTGGTTTGGCGACATTTAACGTAGCTCCAAAGGGAAACAGATAGGTCAAAGCCCTGAGGAAAAATATGCAATGGCAACAATTCTAGACACTCAAATTCACAATCCTAAATGCGCCCTTGCAAAATGCGTGTATACACAACTTGTACATAAAGAAACAATTTCCCCTTACACCCTCCCCAAAGATGAAATCCTCATAACATCCTCTTTTCAAGATGAAATATTAATTTATCCAGTTATTTCAATAACAGAAAACAGGCCTCACTTAGCAATCTTGCAGGACTGACACTTTTCTAGTACAATGAAGAAAAGTTAATTACTGTGCTATTTTTTTCAGAAATGTACAATACTGGCATGCAAGCACCATTTTTCAAGAACTAAGAATAGCTAAAGGCTACTAGTTAACAAAACACTGCAGGTGATTTATAAGACAAACTGTGGTACACATAGCCTCAACAGGTGCTTGTGTGAACTGAAAAGGCATAGGTACATTTATCAACAGTCATGTTCTGTACAGATCCAATTATAAATCAGAGTGTAAACCTTGTGACCATTTTTTCCCCATAACACTGCCTCTTACTAATGGTCATGTGTCACTGACATTAATGAGGAAGGAAGGCAAACTGTAAAGAACAGAACCAAGCTTCAAACCTGAGTTCATACCTGACCACAATCTACTGATAATTTTTTCAAGGAAACACCGGAGTCCTAACACCACTTGGGCGTGCATACAATGAGTAAAATTCTAACTAATTCTGGACACTGTGCTCCCGTGCTGGACTATCATGCAAAATCAGGTGCGCTGGGAAATTAAACCAACAAAATGTTTGTACAGTTCAGCTTTGCGACACAAGGCAAAGAAATAAAAACTAAATGAAATAAAAAATTGCTGTTACTGAACACACTAACAATACAATACTCTGATTCAATTTATCCATGCTGGAATGGCATTCAAATTTGAAATGAGACTCACTCCCTGTAATTGGACTTTTTATCTTCACCCAACTCAGCAGCAGGTGGAGTGATAATGGTTGAAGACACCTCTTTCCTTGCACCCATCAAGAAAGGGTTAAGACAGGAGGAAAGGTAGTGTTTGTTAGCAATGAGTTGGCTTAACAGCACTTGCCAAGATGTGAGTTATCAGATCTGTATTGTAATTAATTGCTTTTCTGATTCGTCCACTTAAACTTTTGGCTCCTCTGGCCTGGTCATCATGGAATGCTTTGCCTACCGCGCAAGTGAGATGATCCTTCATGAGAGGTCACAGATGATGGGACGTCACAGGTAATGATGCACAGCTTGTTCTAAGACTAATTGAAGCCATGTTCAGACTAAGTGTGTACTCCATTTTTAACCACTTCATGCCGGGGCATTTTTCAATGTTGATGATGCTGGGCCGGTATGACTATCATTTTTTCCGTTTTCGAAATCCTTCAAAAATTCATCATTTCATTTAATGGTCATTTATAGCCGCACGAAGTAATCTTTAGGCACTACTCTAAGTTGACAGGTGACCTTCACTGACGCCTGAGTATTTCAGCCAGGCCTGCAGCCTTGTAAACAGAGCCCAGATTGTGCGGTGTTGTATAACTGCCTTTTGTTCACGAACCTGGCTCAGTGCACTGCTGACCTCTTTTCAATAGGGGCCAGACTAGCGTGCAGCGGTGCTGTGAGGCTCATCGCTGTGGTGGTGGAGCGCATTTGTCCCCGGTGGTAATCCGCTCGCTCTCAATGCCCCAAACCCTGGTATACGGTTTCNGTCCGAGTTCGGAGACCCCGGCCACGCATATGAACCATACGTCTCCGATTCCGGAGTCCCCGGCAGGAAGCGGTTAATTACCAGTGGACACATTTGTTTTTTTATATGTATGTGAGAAGAAAATGAACTTGAGCAAGGAAACAAGAAGAAGGATCACCTGCTATTAGACAGGTTCCCCCTTAAAGGTGAAGTTAAACATGATTCCTTTTAAGTACAGTGTATGTTTAACTTATGAATCACTGGAATGCAATGGATGCACAGTCCATGTGCAGTGTAACGCTGTTCTTTGGAACTTCAAAAATTACCTTTTTGTAATAGCTACCTTGCATTATCAGTAATGGAAAACAAGGAAAAACACCGACTTGGGACCTAAATTGTCCTTGTTATAAATATGACCTTTTATTGACAGTACTCTTCTTATCTGTGTTCAACTTTATGAATGATATGTATAAATTTTATTTGATTTGGTGATAAGTAGCCAATAGGATAGATACCTTTCTGTCCAATGAGTATCAACTGATCTACATGTAAATGTAGAAACAAGTAAAAAAAAAAGATTTTAGATGCCAGAAGATGAACTCTTTGCTTCATGCAGTCCTACTGTGTACCTACAAAAAAACCCACTGGCTTTCCCTTTGGGAACATCCTGTCATTTCTTCTTCTTTGGAAGATTTTGGAGGCATCGCCTCTTACTGGAACGTTTTTGGATCATTGTGGATTACTTGCAAAGTCAAATGCAGTTTCACCCACATATTAAAGGTAGGAGAACAAAATTAGATTTCAGTCAGCAAGTATAAGTAAAGTGACACATTTTAGCATCATCAATGTTCAACTTCATAATAATCAGAACTTGAGCCTTCATAAAAAGACACTGGATTAACAATGCTTTATAGCCCACATTAGGGTTAAGATCCAGTAAGAAACTGGTGAAGGGAAGATCAAATAAAAGAATGACAGGCTACTGAAAGAGGTGACATCTTCTGAGGTTACAACTTACTTTGTATCATTAGCAGCCTCATCTTCAGTCACACTGTGAACCATCTTGCCAGCTGCTACACTTATCGCTCTGTTGGATGAAAAGAGGTCAGAGGTCACGCAGCTTCTGAGCAGGAGCAGATGCTGAGAAAAGCCATGTCTGAATTAGTGGGCTGCAGCTTGAAATTACACACAACTCTATGGGTAGTATAGCTGCAGCCACACTCTAAGACTAACTGTATCAATTTCAAGCTTCAACCAAACAATTCAGACAAGGCCAAAGTCACTGTCAATATTTGTTTGAGAGAACAAAGATCACGGAGATGGTTGCCTCTCCCTGTAAATTTCATCACCGATACCAAAATACAACCTTTTCCATTTTTGTGCAAATGCTAGAAGTATCAGATTGGATGACTTGTTCTCACTGCAAAGAAAAAACCAAGCAGTTCACCTGTTCAAGACACCATTGGCTATAAGGGCTTCTTTGGGGTGGAAATATTTGTAGTATGATGTCCTGACAACGCTGTCTAAAAACACAAAAAGTGAGACCAAAAGTCAGACTCTAGGTACTCAACAACAGAGTAAATAAACAACTGGTATTCTCAACATGCGACAGTCAAGTAACTTGAACAGCCCTCCCCCTTTGCTTCCTGATCTGATAAATCAATTTTTAAAAGTACTATAAAAATCAAGAAGCAGAAACGAGGGTCTCTTATTAATAAATTCTCAATGGATGAATGATATTTCCCTGGCAGACCTACCATTGTTGACCATGATGCTGTAGTCTTCTAACAAGAAGTTAATGTTGGTATCAAACTTAGTTTCTCCACCTTCCCCCATCATTACCAACACACTACCTCCGCTCTCAAGGAATCCCTTGATGGCCTCAAACTGACTCGGCAGGAAAAACAAACAATTATTCCAACACAATGGTTAGACTTCAAGCAAGACTAAAAAAATCACTTTTTCCATTATAAAAGCTCTATAAGTTAACTAGAAATTTGTGGGTTTTTTGACACCTTTTTCTTTCAAAATTGGTAAAAACTCACACTCATAGATTTCATTGTGACTCAGTGCAGTTTTAGCTGTAAGCAGTTACAATAAAATCTAAGATCTAGAATATTTCACTTGAAATGTCCCCATAGAAAGTTAATTTTCTAATACAAGTGCCCTTGGCAAATGCGAAATTGCCTTGCCCTTTCAACAACAAAATTCCTCCCTGTGTAATGGTCACTGTTCAAGGCAGCAGGTGTTGGTTCATTAAATACATGTATAATGAAAATATCTTCTGTCAATTCAGCCTTCATACAAGAACAAAGGCAGCCATATGTAATGATCAAATTGAAAGTTTCCACACACCTCAGGTGCAGTGAACTTTTCTCTAGGTCCAGCCAACACAAACACTCTGACATTGGCCAGCTTTTCCTCAGTGATCTCATCTTTCTGACTGTAAAAATAAAGATTGAACTGTCACAAAACTGCACAAAAAAGAAAGAACATTTCAATAGCTGCAATAGAAACAACTTTGAATTTGTACTTCAAAGTTGTGAATTCATAAAAGGACACAGCTCATAAAAAAAATGTGTGTATATGTACATGTAGGATACCCAACAAACATAATCAGTGGACAAACACCATAAATTTACCATTAACCCATTCTCGACGGGAATTTCTTTCAAAAAGCCAACTCCAAGAATTCAAGCCTCGTTTGGCCACGAAGGCCACCTGCCAAACCGCAAATTCTCGGTTTGTGGCCCAGCATGCTCTGCACCCTTTGAATTACATGGTGAAAAGGCTGATTGGTCAGTGGCATGCAGCTCTACTCAAGCTTCCACTTTCCTGTTGCCTCTTTTCAAAGTGCGGACTATTGTGAAGCTGGTGATTATGATGCAAATTCGGTCTTTTCATTTCTGGGCTACACAAAAAGACCAATTACCATATACAGAAGAGCCAGGGTCTGCCTTCTTTCATCGTGTTCACTCGAGTGTGGACTGAGAATTATAGCTGAAAAGCGGGCTGAGGATCTCAATTTTTACGGCGTGTCTTAACGCGTCCTGGCGTGAAGGGGTTAAACGTGAAGGGGAATATCTTGCTGTTGAATGCTTTTCAGATTGCAGCAACTCAGGTTGCTTTAGATCCTGTTACCTTGTAATTTTCCAGCTACTACGAAGTTTTTTATGCAAGTTCTTGAAGCCGTTTTGAGGACTGAATAATTCCCGTTTTGACACATCAAAGGCGATGGAAGTTCGTTGACCTTTCTCCCCCATCTCCTAATGAATTTATTGAAAAAATAAAACCATTAATCAGCAAGGATGTTACAGGGGATATACTTCTTTGGTTCACTTTTAAATTTGAGTTTTAACCACTTGCCGCCAGAGTTTCCGGAACCAGAGACCTTGGACGTACATTCATGTATACACGTACAACTCCTCTTTTCAAATTTTGGACTTATCCGTCCTACTAACCGATCAAGTCCAAGATTTGAAGACAGAAGTTCTAATGTTAGTTAGTGGGTCCATTGGTAAGACGGACCACAACATGAACAATGGGTTGTTTTTTACTACACATGTAGGGCCTGTGCGATTTTTTTCCCTTCATGCAGTCAATAATCACGTCAATCATGTCAACTGGACCTAAACACTTGATTTTACTTATTTTCAGAAAAAAGCTTATGCCTCGTTAGGGAAAGAACATAACCATGGTAACACAGTTGCTGCTTGACACCCTGTGCACAAAACCTAGTGTAAGTCTTGTCTGAAAAATTGTGTTTTCTTCATGTAAATCTAAGTGAATACCTCGATAGTTTGGAAACAGTTCCATACAGATGTGACAGACGCCAGTAATCATTCCCTACAGTCATGACAGTGACCTATTTACTGTTTTTGTATTGGCCATCAGACATCCATCATCACCCATCATCATCTTCACATTAGTTTCCACATGATACATATTGTGAAGACAATAATCTGTACGGGTAGAGACTGCTGTAGAGACTGCTGCCAACGTTTTGGAAGAGTCCATTGGTACATGTATCTTATCGCTCAGTCCATTTATTAGATATCTTGATATGGAACAGCCGTCGAGACGATGAGGGGTCAAGTGACGTATTGTTCAACGACCTTATTTTAATGATGGCGACTGTGAGAGCAAGCCCGTTAGATTAAATGGATAAAGGAAAAAAGACTGGAAAATACCTGAATAACGTGAGTGAAATCATTCAATAAATGGTATTTAGAAAACGGAAAGGTCAAGAATCATGTTCGTGTGCAAAAGAAATTGCGCCCACGATAAGTGGGTGCGCCGAAAATGTTCAGTCCGCCGACTGGAAATTGTGCATACGGATGTGTGGCTAAGGATGGATCGGGAGTGAGAGTCCGTGCCACACTAGTGGGGCTGGGTTAGGGTAAGCCATGATGATGTAGGCCTAGGCCTGACATGCATGACATGCCTAATAACTGTTACAATAAAGTATTAGATCTCTTTCATGTCAGCATGTGTTTCTTTCCAATATTTTCACTGCTAAAAGTTGATACTTCAGTACAGGGATGTATGGAATCTTTTCTCTCTGGTCAGGTATAATTTTAATTATGTTGAGGGGTAACAACGCATAAAAATAGTTATGTTACTCTGACTGAGACAGTGACACAACACAACCACGCACTGACGCAGTACAAAACAAGGAAGGCCCCGGCCAACAGGAATGCACGTCGTTGCCAACAACGCTAGAGCCTGGTTACTACGATTTTGTGAGCTATCGAGAGACAAATTTCCCTCTGGAATAACTAATACGAATCCAAGAAACATAGTTACACATTTGAAATGGTACACCAAACGATTAACATTCCAAACGAGGCCAATACGAGCATCATTTTACACGTCACTAACGCTGACTTTACCTGAGAAATCGGCGCCATGATGAAATTTGCTCCCAAACTATTTGCTTCAGATGTGAATATTCATTTCACGTGTATTGCACGCCTAATTTCAAAACATAAGGATTCAAAAACTAATACACATTTTACCAATTACGAATCCAGAGAAGTAGAAATTGGTTGGTATTAATTTTGTTGTTAAGAAATACAATTTTGTATATCCAGTTTGATCACACATTTTTCTGGAAATAGACAAAAAGTAAGAATAAATTAAACTGTATCTGATAAATGCCCAGTGAAATGTTCATCCCTATCTATAGTTTTTCGAGTAGTTGAATTGACTGATCTATGTAATTTTACGCTCTAGACAGAAAAATAACTCGTGTCTAGTTCTGCAAGAAAGGTGAGGACGTAAACTTCCATGGTGGGACGCGCTGATCAGAAAGAAGTGATTTTGTTGAAAAGGCTTTTTATTGGCTTTCCATACATTTTTTATGTCAAAGGTTACACATCATCACCTGCGTGCACTGTTAAAGATGTTTACATTGGATATTTGCGCAATTGGTCTGTTTCCAGACTCCAATGTGTCAAGTTATTAACGCGTATGTTACGTTTCCGCCGTCCAGACAGTGCTGACACCTGCTCATTTGCCGCGGTTGACATGTGAGCAGGTAGATCGGTCAATCGGGGAATCTTCAAGTTGCGCACCAATTTTACCGATCTCTTGAAGCATTTCACGTACAAGCTATCTGAAGATACTATCCACTTGCAGAGCTACTCGTAAGTAAGCTCACTTTTTGTCATTTGTTGATAAAGTTATCTAATGGATTCCTCTTTCAAATTAAATGCATGCCATGTCGACATGATTTTCAGTGCACGATGTATTGTAATGATTGAAATTTTCCATGCGTAGTTACTACTACTAGGTGCCTAGGTCTGTGGATTTGCGTAGCTGGTAGCATGTTTAAATTAATTTTTTTTTTAAACGAAACATATAAAATGCCATTAGCCTGAAGATAAAAGAGGGCGCTATTTTACGAGGCTTAAATTTTGTCCTTTTTTTACACAAAGTACTGCAGTCATTGTATTGGAAAAATTTAAACCAGTGTTGTGGGATTTTTCCCAAGGCCAAAATCTTGGAAATTTAGGCAAGCTAGGCCTTGGGAAATTTCATGAAATCTTTGGATTTTTGCTGGTGTAACTTTTTAGATCAATCATGTCAATAAGTGTATTATTTACTCATTTCTTTATTTCTCAATGAACAAATCAGGTCAGGTGTAACAGGGACACCAAAATGTCACACTTTTGGACCCCGAATTTATAGAATGACCCATTTACACTTTTTTGTCATTTTCCAGTCATGATGATTCATTGTAAGTGGCACAAGCAATAAAAATTTTTGCAGATGGCCTGCCTTAATTTAAGTGTTCAAAAGAAGTAAATTACTGGCCACCCACAGCCAAAGAATTGAATCGCATAAAATAAATGGTAACCTACCGGTACATGTACGGTACTTGCCATTCACCTCAGGTTGCGTGAGAGGATCATTACGGAAAAGCGATTGCAAGTAAGTCTTCCGTGTTAGATTTTAATTATGGCTTTTGATAGCACATCAATATATTAATTTTCATTATGACATGATAGACTTCCTTAGAGGAAATAGGACAGGAGTCAAGATATACCAGTAGCAGTAAGTCTTGAAGGCCCTGGAGACAAAAATAATTCTGTTTCAGGTACTGGATCCAACCAAGATTCATGCAGAACTGATTTTTTTTTATTTCAAGAATGAAACACAACCAAAAAACTTGTCTATACAGGTGTAGATGGGTCTCTGTTTTAAAACCCAGCTGAACACAAGATCCAACAGGTGTAAATATCTGTTGGATCCTGTTGACCTCATCTCAGCAGGGTTTTCAAAAATGTTGGAATGACTTTGCTGTTGAGAGGCCTCTCAATCCAACAAGATCCAACACTTGAAACTGTTCTGAGAGGCCTCTCCTGAAAGTGGCATGCTCTGGTCTGCATTTTTGTACCCTTAGATACATGTATTCCCTATCCACTAACATTCTGATTGAGAGCCGTACGGGTAATGTTGTCACTCATCACATTTTACAAATTCATACACACGTGTACTTGTAAGTGTGCAAAAGTATCATCCCAGTGCAATACAGTACTTTGGACTAAAAATTGTGGGAAATTTGTTTGAGCTGAGGTAACATTTGGATGTTGTCTTAATACACATAATGAAGTACATTGACATGCAACTGTTCAGTTACTACTCCTAGTATGTAAAAGATACATTTACAATGTACATGTATGTATATGTACGTACGGGTACCAACATGCCTGTAACCGGTATGTACAATCTTTACTTAATATGATGACTTCCTCACAACAATGAAACTTGAACCATGTTTTAAAAAGACATCACAAGTTGCATACATGTACCGGTCGTAGACTTACATACATGGGTGATTCCAGAAATTAGGGGTCCATTTATTTCTTGTGCCTGTTACATATGACATGATTTATTTTCTAAGTTCAGAAAACATTTTTCTTATTTCCAAGAGTGATGAATTAATGCAAATTACCTGCCAAACAAATACTAGTACAGGTAGTTTGAAATCAATTCCAGTGATATTGACAACAAAGGTCAGATGTAGCTGGAACACAAAAATGTCACACTTTTGGACCCCTAATTTCTGGAATTACCCACATACATGTACATGTGCATGTACAACTGTACATCTGTATAATTTTAGCCATAGTCATACTTTCAGACATGTACATGTAATCTGTAGTCTTAATTACAGTGAGAGGTTTTGGATTTGGCCCATGAAATCCACCGTGGGTTTAAAAATGAGTTTCATGGATAGATTACAATGATCTCCCAGGTGTGTGGAAACTAAAGTGTGAGGTTGAGGACTACATGTACATGTAGTGGGGATCTTCAGCTTTTTCTTGAATTTTGCAGGTTTGGCTTGTCAACCATTTGGACTTCGTCTATGGAATATGGTATTTGTTCTGTTAAAAGCAGTAACCTAAATCTCCCTCACGTACATGTGCCTGTGAAATCAAATTGAAATTTTAAGAGGATCGTTTGGGTAAAAGCTTAATTTCAGTTAACTTTGTTAGATGCAGTGTTAACATCTTGATACTGTGCTTGCTCCCATAATACACTATTGATACTGACTGGACCACGGTGTAGTGTAGAGAATATACACCGCTGGGTTGATGATCGAGCCCAGAAAAGTGCATTCTGACCTTTCAGCAAAATGCATCCAATTTCTTAATGATGGAAGAGATCCCTATGGCTCAATCATTTGCCCGTTGGTTGCAGGCTTCTTGCATCAGTCCAAGGCAATAATGGATCTTCTTCCTAAAGGCAGCGTTGTAAGTTCTGGTATACTTACATGATGTACTAGTTCTTCCTGGATAAGATTGGAATACCAGCTAGCAATATTGACTTCCGGTAACTACTTGGTTGAGTTATTCATTTGGGAAATTCACTGCCCAACATTGATTGGTTGCTTAAGTGATTGCAGTGCCTTGGAGTATAAGGTAAAACATGTTAGGGTGGATACTCATCACGAGTAACATGATTTGACATCTTCAGTCCTTCGATATCTACTGGTAGCATACATGTGTACATGGATGTACACTCTACATGTAAGTGTCTTGAATCATGAAAATAAAATCATTCAGGCCATGCATGTACACGTGTGCAGATTTGAAAGAACATGACGGAGGTGTCACTTGTAAGTCTAACCTTTGAACCCCCATGTGAGATTTGGCTCGAGAAGTGTTTGTGTGTTGGCATGTACTAGTACCGGTACCGAGATCATTTCAGGAAATGTTTTAAATTTAACGTAAGCTACCGGTAAACCTCTCCATATAAGTTGGAAATTCCCTAGAGTGGGAGACAGATTTGACGCATGCATAGGATAGCAGCTCATATTGCCATGGTGATCTCCCTCCTCCCACTATGCCGAGTTAGGCAGGCTTAGGATGGTGACAGTGAAGATTTTGATGCAGTCGTCTTACTCTCTCAATCTACCACATATCAAAGCAGTAGTCTCTTATTCTACGGTGCACACGCAACATACACGTACAATTGAATCTTTCAAGTTTGTCACACAGTATCCCTCCCCCGACGTTTACGGCAGGCTTTTATCCCTCCTTGTGTGACAAATGATTGAAAGCTCTTTGCATTCTGCATGGCAGCAGCATCACAAGTGAAAGGTTGGTGACATGATGCGACTTGATTATCAGCGGAGAAAAAAGGAAAATCAGTAGTTTTCTTGCCTCTGTCACCCTCATGTTTTTTTGCTCTCGATCGTCAGTGACAGGAAAGGACTATTGTGATCAGCACGACTGCTTCCAGTACATGATCTGCATACTACAGGATCTCTCAACGACAGAGTGAATAGAATCACACGAGGGAGGCCTACATACTGTACATGTACTGAACGTGTCTGTACATCAGGTTGTTCTGATAATTTGCAGGTGGATGCATTCGATCTGTCATCTTAGACAGTAGGGGTGTGTCCTGTGAGTCTGGCCAGTAAAAAAAGTGAAGAGATGCACATTCCGTTTGTGTCTACAGTTGAAAAGTGTAAGTGCCAATTACCAAGGTTACAATTTACCTTCTTCATTTACAGGTACACGTAGTTTCCTACTAGATATCACTCATCGAGTGGTCATCAGAAATACCGATATGCATCACCTAAAAAGGCACTGAACTAGATGCACCAAAATAAAGAACAAAATGAGGAATTTGGTCTTTTGACAGTCATCGAGAATGTTGAAATTGATGTCAGAATCATGACCCTGTCTTTACGGTGAATCTACACCTTTTGTATACATGTGTCACTCGCCAGGTTTGCTGAAAAATATGTGTACAGTATATTTCCGTTACAGAGTTGTAGCAGTTGTGATGACCTGCTGTCCTGGTGAAGTTAGTATTTTCTGGTGTTTGCTGTGAGTTTCCATTGTGCTTCTGTAGGCTAAAGTCCACAGTTATCTTGTGGACTGATTCTAGATTTTAGAAAACTCAAAGTCTTATTGCTGAGGTGTACAATTTGGTTAACCACTACTGCCTATAGTGTGCTCAAAATATTTTGTGGTATTAAATTCAAGAACTTCCATACCACACATTACATGTACATGTAGAACCCTTATGGTTTCTAAAAATGTACGTAGTATTTTGCATTATACACCCAACAGTGGTACATGTACATGTATGTACCGTATGTACAGCTAATATGAAAAAATTCCTGTCAAGAAAGTTACTTTGAAGCTTCTTTTTCAACTTGTACAGTGTACATTACAGGTACATGTAAATGTACATACATGTATTAATTAATGTTAAAACACAGACTTGTGAAACCCTGTTGGCAGTACGATACCTGGAGATGTGGAGGTTTCAGAAGGGCATTCAGCAATCCCAGAGTTCCGTGCTCCATTGAATTGGTTGCAGCAAGTTGTCCGTCATACACAATTGGATACTTTACAAATGTGTACACTGTGCTCACTGTACTAATCAGGATGCGCGTATGCATAACGCATGTTGATAGGTAGAATATCCGTACATGTACCAGGGATGAGATTGACCAATGATAAAAATAGCTAAAAACAGCTGGAAAAAGACATAAAGCTGAACTGTGGAAATCTCCTCTACTTATGTACACAGCCAGTGAGGAAAAAAAGCTGAAATCCATGACACAAAAAGCTGAAACCAGCTGAAAAGCTGAGAAATCTCACCCCTAATGTACTCGTATCTCCCACAGTTTCTTTGTAAAGTGTGGTTAATCTGTAAAGCAATCACACTGTACATGTAAATGTACCGTACATACATGTATATGTATGTAGCTACATGTACATGTATGTGTAAAACAACTGCCAGCATAAAGGCTTCAGATTAACAACTGAATGAAATCTTTAAATGCATACCGTATGCACACAACGTTGCAGCAGTATCCCCTTTAAACCCTTGATAAGTTTGTGTGCGGATGGTTCTGATATTACATAATTTGCAGTTTTGAATCGTTTCATGGACAGGTGGATTGGGCAATTCAATGACAAGAATATGTTGAGTACACTGTTCATGAAGTCTGACTCTAAAAAGTTTACTTGATGTGTATTAGAGGATAATATCGCATAGAATGGAATGTATACAATGTACGTGTACTGTATTTAATGAGGATGTTAAGCACTGAAATTATGTGAAAAAACTGAAAAAGTACATGCAACTCGGAAGATCCCATGAGTTTGGCTTCCTGTACTTTTCAGGTTTAATTTGACAGTCACCTTTTACATGTACATGTATACTAGTACTGTAGATGAGCAGTTGCTAATGACCAAAATAGATCTTTGAAATTTTGGAGCTTATTTTTTTTATCTAGTGATCTTACCCCGTACATACAGGTAATATGCACCTTTTAGAACTTTAACCTCCAGGGCATCCATGAAAAATTACATTTTAATCGGAGGATTCCTGACTGTTTGGGTTCCAAAAGTAAAAAAAGAAAAGATTGCATTTACAGTACAAATTTATCAGATTAATAATGTGGTTTGCACAAGTTAATGTACAGGTAATGTCTGTAAGTTGGCGTTTCATACTGTATACATGTACATGAAACTCATTGAGCAAACAATGTTGTTTAATAGTAGAAATACCGGAACAATCGGTACAGTACACACGTACATGTATGTCATAAATAATATTGATTGGCAGCAAATGTGGTCTTCCTGTTGTCGTACAGTAACTGTCCGTATTGCTTACATAGAGTACAAATGTACTGTGCTCAGCTTGATTCGCCACATCAATACACTGTATCGTATGTGTCCTTCAGGTGTAGGTCTCTAGAATGTGTTTTAACTCAAAGATCTTTTTTGTAAACCTGAATGAACCACATGTTTGCTTGTTGGACCATTGCTCATCCTCCTGGGATGAAAATGATGGTCACCATTCCCTTTTAGGTGAGGGTGCTCCTGGACCATTCTTGCCCATGATGAGTGCTGTTGGCAGACTGATACACTTTGAAAAAGTGTCCATTCAGCTGGACATTCCTACATTCACTTTTCATTTCTTAAGAGGGTACATGTATTGTAACTTGATTCTTATGAATAAAGCAAAAGTTACACATTTGTACATGCACCAGTAGTATCTCAGCTTCCCCTTGTAGTCCAGCAAGTCTACAAAAAATGGAGATCTATGCATTATTGCTACTGTTGTGTATGATGACCAAACATCTGGGAAGAGTTTCCAGACATACAAGGCGACATGGAAGTGTTTAATTAATGTACCGTACATGAAGCAGGAGCCAGGCTGTAGACAGTGCCATCATAATGCAGACTTTAGTGCATCATTTTTCCCTTAGCCCTAAATTTCCATCACCATGAACATGTTTGCCAAATCAGCAGTCTCAATCTAATTCATGTAAAATTATCTTCAATCTAAATGTCATTCAGGGCCCGTCCATCCATGAGGAAGTTTTGTCTTGATATCTTCCAGACGTGCTCATCTTCCTTGTCACTGAGGATGGTCGGCCAGCGTGGCTTGCTGACGGCAAGAAAGCTTTTTTTATTCAATTCCTGCTGGAGAAATCGAATTTCTGGCTTGTTTCAGCTGCCTGGGGCAGTTGTGTAATGAATGTGCTATGCGTTTAGGATTGCGCCTCATCGTGAATAGATGCGGTCATTTAGAGAGTGGAATTCAGGCCACATTCAATTTTGGAGATCTCTTGCATACATGTACATTGAATAGGTTTTAATGAGACATTGTCTACAAGTGTACCTGATCCAAAATTTCACTGTCCAATGTTCTTACCATGTGTGTATATCTTGTAAGGCAGAAGAAATTGGAAGGATTCTTGAGTTCTTGCACATGTATGTTCCAGAATTGAATTGGAAAAATCTATTAAAAAAAAATCTTCTGGAAATTGTGAGTCACATTTCATGATTTGTTAGTTTACATGTACCTGTTTACTGCAGTAATTAAAATGTAGCAGAAAGGATCTGCAAACTGCATGTTCATGTAACTGACTGAATTAATTGAATACTGTTTTTGTAATCAATTATAAATTGTACAGGTAGAGAAAGATTTGTATAGTGATGGCAAGAGAAATTTTGCTCTGCTTAAACAACAAGCAAATCATTCTGAAATCACTCAAAAAAAATTTACAGTGGGCACTGCAGAATTGTCAAAAATCATTTGATACAGTAAATTTGATACTTGTGTATTTGCTGTTCAAATAATTGCACGGTTAGACAACTTGATGACTGCATTCGACAGGAAAAAATATGCATCTGTCGTTTTTCTTGGATGGATGCATTGTGTACATTGACTGGCGCAGTTCCAGAATCCCAAGTGAGATAAGACCTTGATGAGAATTGATGAGACAGCACAAACTGCACACGTTATCCATGGCAGGTTAGCATTATTCAAATTGTCACAGACCCTCACGGCAGGCATCGCTGTATGGCCATCTGATATCACTGCATGTATACCGTACGTATGTAATTGTATTTTTTCTTGTGTGGCTGCACAGCATTAATCACTGGTCGGGGACAATTAACATCAAATTGCATGAGCTTGGGTTGAGAACTCAATTCTCTCAACTAAGATACCCCATGCAAGCTTAGTTTCAATACCTTACTGGTACAGTTGATCATATTTTACTCTTTTTTTCACCCATACATGTATTTGTCCTTTTTTGCCCCTTCTTGTTTGGGCTATAAGGTGCCGGGGTACGGTACGTGTTATCTACTCAGACTCAAAAAAAATGTTTGGTGTGCCGCGTTTCTGAACAATTTGAAAAAAAACCACCGGTACCATTAAATATCTACAGCCAAATTATCCTTTCTCTTCCCAAATTGAGGTCGTCTGGTCCAGTAAAATTAACACAATAGTATTCACCATCCGAGAATTTTTTTTCTTCTTTTTAAGATAGGATTGAATAATAATAGTGGTAGGACTGTTCCTACTTTGTGGAGAAAAGCAATCTTGCTTTATGTGATTCACTTGGTACATGTACAGTATCTACATGTACATATTGCACATTGTGAGAGCCCTGTAGACTAAGCCATGTCTATAGGCTTTCCCTTTATGAAAATGCTCTAGAGGGAGTTTAGGTTAAAATTAGGAACAGTCAAGGAAGCCATGAAAAAATGTGCCCCCTTACATGTATAAACTGTGGGGTCCGACGTCCACCCTGCTCCCACGTGGGAGTGAGGCGGACGTGGGACCCCACAGTTACGGCAAGGGGGTAAGAAAAATGCAATTAAACTGATGACAGTTCAAGAAGAACAACCATCATCTCTGAGTGCTTTTCAATGTAAACCTACAGTATACAGTTGTACATGTACTGGGTGTACCAGTATTCGATTCACTAACATGTACCAGGTATTTACAAGTACACACTAGTACTTGTGTGACTTTTAGCAGTGCATATATACATGTACATATACCATTGATGATTGCTGTACATGTACATGTATTCATTATAACCATGCCGGTATATGTGCATGTACGTATATGTAGATTCATGCACATGTACAGCTGTACATGTTTGATGTGATTCACATACAGGGTACCGTGGGAGACTCGGGCCG